AGGAGAGAGATTTTTAAATAACACAAACTCATGAGAATATGCATGTAAATTCCTTTAAAATTTATATACTAATTAAAATTTTAAAATTGCTCCTCCAATATAAATAAAAAGCAAGTATATAATCTACAAATTTTAAAATATATAACTTTCAATATTTACACTTTTGTAAGATATGTATTTAAAGTTTTTTACAAAAGTGTCATGTTATACATGTTTTTTGTTTTTTATAGCTTTGAAACTACACCCAATGACGGTGCTTCGTTTCTTTGTCCAAAATGAAGAGCACAATGACGTAGATATTGGTTAGAATCATAATTATCAAGATTGGACTGGCTCCGTGGTCTGAGTTCGGTGATCTGATGAGGCAAAACACTTATTGGTGGCTTTGTTGGTATGGTCTAAGGTAAAGTTTAGGTTTGGATACAAAACCCGATCAATTTGCCCAGTTTTTGCCAGACTAATGGGCCTGTTTTAATAGGTAAAAAACAATGTTGGATAACTTTTTTTAATATATAACATATTTTAAAACTACTATTAATATTTTTTTTATAAATATAAAATTCAATCAAATTGGTTCAACTAGTTGTTTGACTAGCTTTGGCTAGACCAAACCCCTCGTTGATTTAATAGTCAATCCGATTATAGCTAAAATGACATTGAAAGATCGAATAAAAGAGATGAGGGCGAGAAAGACAATGTTACGGGTGATCCGTCGCTTTTACTTGGTCGAGCGACCATACTAGTGGAAGAAAGACAATGTTCACTGGTAAACCGTCATTTTCACTTGGACGTACCATAGCAACATATTTATCGTTGTGTTTGTTCCAGTATTTTAAAAAACGGCGAATTATAACGGACTTGCCCGAGTCGACACGAGAATCGGGTACCCCATGTCGATTCCAATGTAATACATATAATCAGGCGTGTCTAGAGAAGAATCGATGGTTCTCAACGATAGTCGACACAGTGACGCGGCTGCCATAGCGGCTTTCACAGAAAAAGCTATTTTTTCCATAAAAAAACATGTAAAAGTCCACCGTTTTTTTATCAATAATAGAGAGAATAAATTTTTAAGTCTATAAAACAACGATTGGGCGTAGATCGAAGCTAGAAACAAATTTTTGTGAATAAATTTGGGGCTTTTTTAGCTGATTAGGGTTTTCCGCCAACAGTATATTTATGTGGTTGTTCTTAATCAATTTGATCCGTTTTTTTTTACTGAATGATCGTGGTAGAATCATAGTCAACAAGTCGGGGAAGATCAATATATCGGCTCACCATAAACTCAGAAATAAATTGTTTTTATTTTAAAAATTCGGATGAAAAAATCATGTCAAACATATGGATCAGCAAAGATACTTTATGTAAAAATATCGCAAATATATCGGACTAGTTTCAAAACATTGGAATGAAAAAAACGGACTTGTTTAAAACAAAATTGAGTAGAAATTAAAATAAATTTAAGTAAAAATAAAAAAATACAATGATAAGTTGTTGATAAATATACGATATGAATTTTCTCATTAAAGGCTTTAACAAACACTACACAAACTTTGTATATAACGCACAAAAAAAAAGAAAAAAGGGACAATGTGAGATAAGTAGAATTGAATTGGGTCCATTCATTTCTCTCTCTGTATGGTGATCGTCCCTTTATAACCATAGTTAAGCAATGGGAAGATGTACACTTTTTTAGTTAGACAAGCAACAAAAGCAATAGACCAAGAAAAAACACAGAACAAGAAGACGAGAAGCAAATACAAAATATACAAAATATTTCATAAAGAAACACAGAGTGATATAGAGAGCATGCATGGGCATAGAGAAACAAAATGTGTTGAGGATTGATGTCTTGTATTTTGAGGAAATAGATTTGTCAAGGTAGAGTCAAAATAACAACTCTTGAGGGACGTTAAAAGCCTGAAGGGCCGAAGGATAACTCTGGGACTTGATATATATCCGTACAAGGGTATTTCGATAATTTGTACCATTTATCTGAGACTCGATATATATCGTTGCGATTAGGAGTTCATCCAAAGTTAAGGGAAAAATACATATCTCTTTGTAAATAAAGAGAACAGAGAGGCGTGAGGAAAAGAGCGATTGTAACCCTATTATCCATTGCCAATAAATAAGCTCTCATCTCCCGTGGACGTAAGCACGTTGCCAAACCACGTATATCTTTGCGTTGGGGTCGGTTATTCATTTCTTTTGTGCTTATTTATTCTTCTTGTTTTCGTAGATTTCTTTTCGTTTCTATAAAATGGACATAAAATCTCGGATAAGATGAAGAACACGGTGGACATAATCCCTAATCCAAGATTTCCAGTCATGAATTTGGTTTGGGGATTGATCCCTAATCTGTTTTATTTTTATTTTTTAAGCTTTTGTTTCAGGGATTTCCAATCATGGATTAAGTTTAGGGATTGAGCTCTGTATGTTTTATTCATTTTTATTATTTTGAGGTTTTTGTTTTAGGGATTTAAGATGTTGTATAAATTGTGATGATCTAGGTCTTCGAGCCCTGATGAGGGGGGGGGGGGGGGGGGAGGAGAGAGATTTTTAAATAACAAAAACTCATGGGAATATGCATGTAAATTCCTTTAAAATTTATATACTAATTAATACTTTAAAACTGCTCCTCCAATATAAATAAAAAGCAACTATATAATCTACAAATTTTAAAATATATAACTTTCAATATTTACACTTTTGTAAGATATGTATTTAAAGTTTTTTACAAAAGTGTCATGTTATACATTTTTTTTGTTTTTTATAGCTTTGAAAATACACCCAATGATTTCATCTGGGGTGCTTCGCTTCTTTGTCCAAAATGGAGAGCACCATGACGTAGATATTGGTTAGAATCATAATTATCAAGATTGGA